TCAGCCCAGGGCTGATTCCCAAACTGAGTGGACAGCCTGGATGGGTGGGAGGGGAGATAAGCAGAGCAAAGGACACCTCTGAGGGAGCCCGCTGGAGCAGGAGGAGGATCTGTTAAAATTGGGGCTCTGTCCCCAGTCCATGGCAAGGGACTGCATTATGGGTGATTAATTCATGGCCGAGTTACTTTCTTATGAAGGTTACCACAGATATATCAGCGTGACAGGTGGGGTGTGAGGGAAGAAGGTTTAGCGTGCTCAAGTCAGAGCTGAATATTAGATTCTAGTCACTGTTTGATTGATCTTTTAAGCAATTCTGGGATTCTGTCACTTAAAATCCAATAAATCTTTGAAGGCCTGGGGAAAGCAATGCAAAAGCAATAAATCTCCATTGTGGAGTATGAGAAAAATAGGCCAAGCTGCTGAGGAGGTTCGGTTGGAGGGATGAGAGTGCAGGATCCTCCCTGCTGCTCTCCTCAGTGCCCTGAAGGTGTGACTCTACCAGAGTCAAACCCCTGAGGCTGCCGAGGAGCAGCAAACAACCGAGCGGGGCCTGGAGTGGACTCTGTGAGAGTCTGAGCATTCGGGGCATACGGAAGAAGTGTCAACCTGAGGGACTAGAGACCAAAGCTCAGGTGGGAGTCAGAACCAGCAGCTTCGTGCAGAGAGACACCACTGGAATTCACAAGTTACAGATTGGGCCCACCCCAAGCAGAGTTGGAGGACTGCGAAGTCATCTTGCCTATGACTCACGCACTAGCTAGCAGAAGCTCACTTCGTGTGGCACCCTCATGAAAGGGTCACCCAGGCAACATCTGACATGGGAGATTCAGAACTTGTCAGGGAGCATTGAACTCAGAATCAGGAAACTTGGTCCACATCTGACCATTGGCTTTACTTATTATGAACTCTGTGACGTTGGGTCATTTAACATCTTATACTGCGGTTTCTTTCTCTGATATAGAAATGGTATTTCCCAGCTTACTCACCAGGAAGAGAAGTTTACATGACACACAGAAGAAAACTATCATCAACTGTGAAGTCTTTTATAAAAACATCGTTGTTTTTCAAAGTTAACCTATATATGTACTTATTGATCGAGTTTGATATGCTAATTTGGTGGATGTATATAAAAATGTCATTATTAAATCAGGATAATCAGTATTTCCACTTCTTCAAATATTATCATTTCTTTGTGGGTAACCTTCAAATTTTTCTAGTTATTTTGATATGTGTAGTAGATTCACTTTTTTGCTCCCCCCCAGATGACAGTGTTGCCACTCCTTCCTCCTACCTACACTAAATAAGACTCAAGGCATCTTCGGCCCTCTAGCAAGAGTGCTGTGTCACAAGGGACCAGCATTTCCCTGGTCTCAGCGGCTCCCACCTTCCAACCTGCAGGACTCCACACTGTACTTTTCCTGGTGGTGCTCATCCCTCCTTCTGGTCTAGTGTTCCACTGTCTCTGCTGCGTCGTGTCATCTCATCTGTTCTGCTGATTTCATTATTCGCTTATTTGCTTAATGCCCTACCTCCCTGCTCATTCACAGGCACATTAGCAGGTAGTAAGTCTCAAGAAAGCAGTGTTGTGCCCACCTTGTTTACTGCTTATGCCCCGTGCTTAGCTCACTTCCTGGTCCATAGTGAGTGCTCAGTAAATATTCATTGAACAACTTCACTCTCAACTGCCTCTCATATGCCCATTGTGGCACCCAAAGTTTGAGGTGAAAAACGGTCAAGGTAACTAAAATTCAGTATGGTATTTCCATTGTGTCAATGCAGTTACCATGAAAGTTTTGCTGAGTGGCCTTGGGTAGTCTCTTCTCCTTCTTGGAAAATTCCCAAGCAATGTCTGAAAAATAATTCCAGAAATAGAGAGCCCACCCACCCTCAGTGATCCAGAGCATTGGGATGAAAAGCAGCCAGACATTTCCAGACACCAACCATTTCCCCTCTGAGCAATGACATTTCTTAATTTTAATTTTTTTGGATGAAAATGTCACCAAAATATGTCATGCATACTTTTCTACTAGGGAGGTGGGGTGGTATAGTAATGAGTATAGGGTTAGAGGAAGAACTGGGCTTAAATTTGGCCTGTAACTCTTACTTGTGTCATGGCCTGGGTCAATGCACTTGACTTCAATTTATCTCAGTTTCCACATGTGCAAAGGAAGAGGCCATTACCAAAATGCTGTTGAGATGCAGACAGTGTTATGTACAACGAAAGACACACAGCAAGTGTTTGCTCATTAAATGCAAGTTAGTTAGCTGTTTTAAATTAAAGACATGTTTGTGTTTTGTAAACTAGGATCAAGGAGTGAGCGCTCATGGCTGTGAGGGGCTGCAGCATGTAGACCTCTTTGGTTTTTGAATACTCATATCTGCTCTGTAGAGCGATCCTGCTCCTTTGCTCCCTGCCAGTCTCAATTCCTCACTGATGCTGGGCCACTTCCATCCCGCTCTCCCTCTAATTTACTGTAGTCTAAATTACTGTGGTCTGAGGATGCATGAGCTCATTGAACAGACATGCACAGTAAGAGCATGTGGATTCAGAGGGAAAATGTAAGGGTTTCTCAGAGTGGGGACTAGCAAAATGTTTCATGTGTTTTCATTTGGGGTGTCCAGAGGGTCCCTTTACCGGGGAGGATAAGTGGAGATGTGGTTTCTGGTCTCTGGAATCAGGGAGGCCTGGGTGCCTGGCCTACCCTGGCCCTGGGCACTCCCCTGTTCATTCAGGGTGTGAAATATTGACCATGCTGTAGAGATAAGGAGAAAAGAGAAAAAGAGGGAGAGAGGAAGGGAGAAGGAAAGTCAGAGGGAGAAGAAGAAAGGGAAGAGAGAAAGGGAAAGAGAAAGAGACTGAGATTCAGCATCTTGTCTGATGTCAGCACTGCAGTGTTAGAACAGGAGCTAATCTAGGTTCCTGGCCATCAAACTCATGTACTTTCTATGGCCCCACACAGCCTGAAGATGGTGGGGAACTGGACTAAATCTGCTTTCACCAGGAGATCACACAGGAAGATATCAGTTAGACCAGGTCTCCTGCTGATAGATTTATAGTCTTGGATAACTGAATCTATAATAGAAATGGTAGATCTATGGTCAGATCTGGGCTTGCTCTGGGTCAGCTGCTAACTTCCTGTGCAACCTGGGTAAGCTGTTTTCCTCCTCTGGCCATAAATTTGTCCTCCGGGAAAGTCATATTTTACAATATTAACTGATGTTGCTGCATAAAAGAAGAGAAGATTGTTAAAGGGGACAAGACCTTGTTGGCCAAAATGGAATGGTACTGGGACACCACAGGTGCCTCATTCAAAGTCAACTTTCTTAATTCCTACTTATTGTCTGCGTGCCTTGGACATCTCCACACCTCAGTTTCATCACCTGAAAATGAGGATAATAGCTCACCGTGTGAGATAGAGAAAATTAAATGACAATGTTATGTCAGAATAATCAGAAGAGAAGCAGGGGAATTATAGCCTGATTTGACTCCAGAGCTACCATTTAATTTTGCTTATCATAGATAGGACAATCCTGGAACAACCACTGTGCAAAAATATAAGAGCAAAGCTCTATGTTAAGCTGCCCAACAAACATTATCCACACCTGTCAGGGCCTGAAGACTCAGAGGGAACATTATCCAAAGTCTCCAGACTTCTAGGAACACCCACAATTTTGATGATTGATTCTATTTGCTTCACTGCCTATACTTTCCAGGGAAAGCTGGACACAGAGTGGAAAAAGGAGTTTTGGGCCATCTCAGGAGCTTCTTTTTAGGCTGGTGTACAAGACTCCAGGGACACAAAGAATGATGCCACCATGCTCTCCAGCAGTCCTCAAATGAGCTGGAGCTTTTCAAACACATTCCTGCTCTTATCCCACCACTTCTGCTTGACCTCTGTGTTAAGGTGAACTTAACCAGGTATGGAGTCTCTCCTTCACATTTTTGCCCACTTTGGGCACTTGCAACTTGGATGAAACCTTACACAACACTGAAGATGCAGCTCAGTATCTCCTCTTTTGAGAATTCTCTTCTCTAACAATTCCTCCTTTAACAACTGTGCATATCTTTAAAGGATGCAATGTCTTGCAATTATATTTTCTCACTTCTCTCTCCCCATGTAGAGTTTAGCTTCCTTTATAATGTAACTTATTTATGTCTAGTTCACTACTCTCTCCAAGTACCTAAACAGTGGCTAAAAAAGAGTGGATACTTAATAATGTTGGTGTTGAATGAGCCATTATTGAACTCTGTGCTATACTTTAACTCAACAAGTGTGCATTGAATACCTTATTTGTGAAGAGTAAGGGCTTAGAAAGCTATTCCATTCCATAGCCTACCTCATTTCTATGACCTGAGGTCTTGCTTCCTGGAGTGCTGAGCAAAATCAGCAGTTCACATTGTTGCTTTTGTGCAAAATGTGCTTAATTAAAAGAGATGCCACCCGCCAAATAGCCAGGGACATACACTGAGCTACTGTGTTGCTTTTGCTGCCTCTGGCAACCATACCCTTCTCACCCCCGATAGCCTCTTGTTAAAATCAGCAGGTGACCTTGCCAGCAAGGACCCTGTGGGATTTCTCATACTCCATAGCCCTAGACTAGACAAGGTCCTCTTTCCATCTCAACTCTTCCTATTCATAAGCTTTCAATAAGTTCTTTGAGAATTTAGTAAATCTCTCTGTTGCTGGCACTAAGGTCATTTTCCTAGGGGATCATATACAGGTTTCCAACTCCACTAAATTTACCAGGGTTATGTTCCAGAAAGCTCTCTTCCTGACCATCGCATGTTCCTATCAGCACGATTCTTGTGAATGAATAATCCTCTGTAAGGTGAGAGGGCCCTGGCCTTGATACTTCCTCTGAACTGAGCTTGGGACTGCTGACCCCGTTCCTTCCAGGAATTTTTGCTCCTGGTCCCACCGTGCTCATGCACGTTGTCAGTTACATGATTCCCCTGGAGATATGTGTAGTACAGACAAAGAAAGCTGCAAACTCCTCACCTGACAGGGGCTCCCCTGGACTGGGCCGGTTTCAGCATCACTGTGATGGTCGTGTCCGTTTCGTTCAGCGGGGTGTCTGTGTCATATTCAGGCATTGAAGGAGCTGGGCAGGGAACAGAGATTGGAGGTGAGCTCAGCACCAGCCCCCAACCTTGCCTGCCACCTCCATACTTAAAGATATTCCAGACGACTAGAAGGGAATGGGTGCTGATGACAGGATATCAGAGGCTTTCAGCAAAGGAGGCCCAGACTGGCAACCTGTAAGGTACAGCAGTCTGGAGAAGGGTGACAGCGATATGGCCAGGAACCCACATGCACCCAAAAGTTCCACAAGGAATAAAGATATGTGTAAGAAATATAAGAATGTAATAAAGATGCGAAAGCAGAGTCAACCTTGTTAAACACATTTAAATGCAAATTAAAGCAATAATGAATTAGTTCCCCCTACCTTTTTATCCATGAGACCCTCTCCTCCCTATAGGAGTGTGACTAAATCTAATCTTTGAAAGGGTAATTTAGCCATTTGTATTAAGAGCCATTAAAACTCACATCCCTTTTAATTCAGTTTTTCAATTTCTGAATTTAATCCAAAAGTTACAATCCAAACCAACGAATTAAACTTGTACTTTGTAAGATGTTTATTGAAGCATTATTTTATAAAAACATGGAAGCACCATATATATCCAACCACAGGGGAATGTTTAATTAAATTACGTCCATCCACTTGACAGAACCTTATAATGAAAGAGATGTAACAACATGGGAAATGCTTATGGGATAAGAATAAGTGGAAACATTAAGCTACAAAAAAAAATCATGGCTTTTGCAAAAGCACATGCAAAATATGTATGTATATAGATGAGAATTTCATAGATATTCTAAAAATGAAAGTTGTAGGGCTTTGGATTTAGTTCAGTGCTGTCTCACAAGCACAAGCTCCCAAGTTCAATCCCCAGTACCAAAAAAAAAGCTGTAATAAAGTATTCTGTTAATTCTGTGCTGATGCTGTCTAGTGGTAAAGAAAGGAGCCCTACTAGCATTGGCAGTTTTCAATCTTGGATCACTGTGGCTTGGTTACAACTATTCACTCATTCATCAAAAAATTTCATGAGAATCTGTGTTGTGTCTTACTTTGGCAAGAATATATTTGAAAATACAATTAAAAAACCAATTTTATATTCTCTTTCATATATATATTATATATATTATATTCTCTCATATATATGTTCACACTAATGCAGCCCTGTGGCAAGTTATTTGGTTAATTGCCAACTAATTAATATATTTTTTAGACTTGAGGAAATGTATCGATTGGTTTCTTCATGAGATTGCAAGACTAGCTCATAAGGGACTGTGTCATCCTAATTGTTCCAATCCCACACGGAGACAATTGGCTCTGCCTCTTGTCTCTCTCACAAAAATGAAGCATGGGTAGGAAAAGACAACCTTTCTTCCTTTTCCCTTTTAGTGTAATGTACTTGTATCAACTTCCAACAAGGAATGTATTCATTATCCAATGCAAATATGCACAAATAAAGAATAAAACCAGAAAAAGAAAAAGAGATACCTGAAATTTTGGTAGCAATCCGAGTGGTAACAGGGGGCCCAAAGCCCTTGGCTGTGCTGGCCTTGATGGTGAAGGAATAGGTGGTCCCTGGATACAGACCCACAAAGAGGTGGTGAGTTTCATTGCGGAGCTTGAACACCTTCCCCCTCTGGCTGGACAGGTCTGCACTCGGGTCCAGGGAGCCAACAGCCTTGTAGTTGATCTGCAGGACCAAGAAACAACAAACACATAAGTGCCCCACATGGGGGTGCTGAATGGAGCTCATCTGAGAGGAAGGACATCAGGGGAGGACAGGAGAGGACAGGTAAGCCAGGTCGATCAGTGAGTTTTGCACTGTCACCAGCTCTTGCCCACCTGACAGATCAGCCCAGCCTCTGCAGATCTACTGCAGATATTCTAGGACATCCTTGTCCAACAGAAATAGGATGCACACCACACAAGTCATTTTAAACCTGTTGATAGTCACAATAAGGAAGTAGGAAAATGAAAGTAGTTTTAGTAACAGATTTTGTTGAGCTCAGTACATTCATAAGATTATCATTTCAACCTGTGACCAATATAAAAACCTTAATGAGACAGCTGACATTCTATAATCCATGTTATGTCTTAGAGATCTGGTATGCATGTTACTCTTACAGCATATTTCAGTTTAGACTGGTCACAGTTCCAAAGTGCAGTGGCCTTGTGTGGCTAGTGGCCAATTAATTGGGCAGCATAGTGTAGAATGACACTGAAGTGTAGCAGCATCATAAGAACTCTTTAGAAGTCTTGCTAAAAGTACAGATCATGGGTCCTACCCTCTAAATGGATAGCATTTCATTCTGTAGTTTTCTACTGCCTTATCTTATTGCTATTCTCCCTTTCCTTGGGGGAATCAGGACAGTTGTTATCATTTTAATGATGAACAAACCAAATCTTAACAGTAAATAGCTTGTATTAAATCAGCACTTTTCAACCTATCTACAGTGAAGGCCATTTTTTTTTCCAAACCACTGCAGATCAATAATAGGATCTTCCCCACAAGACTTATCCTGTGAGATTGGCAATAACCAAAGTGGTGTACACTGCAGAAAAGAAACTGGTCTACACTATGCAATATTTTGTGTCTACTCTTCACTGATCACACATGAGGGTGTCGTACAAATGTCGAGGTACAGAAGTTTTGAAGCGCTCACTCCATTTCTACATTTATAGCACCACAAAACTAATGCACGGTTGATGGTGTGGTTCTGGCCTCCACTGATCACACTTGGAATACACGTGTCTAAATTACACATTTCTTAGGTGGCATACACAAAATTTTCTTCCAATAAAGTATTTTATTAAAGCCAGGGATTTAGCTCAGTGGTTTCACTGCCTGCCACACAAACTCAAGGACCTGAGTTTGATCCCTGGGATGCCCCCAAAATAATTTATTAAAGCATAATGCACACCGTGTAGTATACAGATAAATGAGTTTTTGCAAACCAGATAGTCATACAATCAAGAAACAGAACCCAGACACAAGACTCATTCCATGCATTCGTCCAGTTCTATCTGCCTCCTGTATTCTAGTAAGATCACCTCTGTCAGACTTCTAAGAGCATGGGCTACTTTTGCATGGTTTTGAACTTTACATAAATAGAATCTTATAGTATATATGCTTTTGCCTCTGGCTTTTTTTTTTCACATGTTTGTGAGATTTACTCATGTTGTCACGGTAGCTTTAAACTATATAGTCTCACGCTTAACTTGCTAATTGCTAGCTAACACTGGACTAAACGTGGGTCTCACCTCCATTCTGTGGTCGTTATTCTATACTACACTGCACGGCCTGGCCTGCAGACACGGTCCAGGAGTTAAAGAATACATTCATTCATCCACTTCTGCTCCTTCACATACATTCCCTGGGTATTCCTGGATCCCAGGCTCTGCACTGTGGGTCACTAGGAGTGGTGTTCATTTTAGAGACAGGGCACCCAGCTAAACATGCAGCTCACAGCATTTACCTTCCATCAAGAATGCTTACACTTACAGCATGACCAAATCCAGATGGAAAGGGAATACACAAACTTCACCTTTTAAAATGAGCAACTTCCTATTTCTGGCAATGGCATTGAAGGTTTTGAGAAAAGAGATTTCTCTCTCCTGTATTAAGGAGCAGTGGTGTAGCAACTGATGGTCATACGCTGGAGGAGAGAGGCCAGAAGTAGCTGGGAGCAAAGTAAGCCCAGGAGGAGAGGCACAGAGAGCTGAGGAATTTAGGGATTTTGCAAGCATAGCTTGAGTATGGGCATCTACCATGCAGGTGGCTGATGGCCTGGCTTCAAATCCTTATCTTAGGGTCTGCTTCTGAGCAGTGCCAGACCTAGACAGAGTGTTTGGGGAATTATCTCAAGAGAGAATAGAACCAGTGTCTGCAGGATGGTAGGTGCAGAGTCCGAGCAGAGGAAAATATTTTTATTCTAGGAAGAAGGAACTGTAGAGTCAAGGCCTAAGGTGAGGAAAGGTTTAAACAGAAGAGCCTAGGAGGACTGCATAGTGAACAGCAGGAGAGGCAGGTGTCTCACTGGCTCCTGGATTCCCTAATGAAAGAAGAGGGGGGAATGTTTAGAATTGTATCTATAGCCAACAACCCCTGCACACCAGTGGAGAATGGGTTCCTTCACATTCTCTCAAAATTCTGTTCCAGTCGCCTGCCTGCCTGGGCTGGTGGCAAATGCATTGATATACAGACACTGGGAGGTAAAACTCATGCCTTATTTACTAGCCAGTGCCTTCCCTGTGCTCCAAATTCAATCCAAAAGCGACACAATTTCCACGGAGCTGTCAATATAATATACCGCGCTCCCCTGCTCTCCTAACCTTTCCTGGTATTACAGGATCCTCACTTACTTGTAATGAAACACTATGAATAAATCAATGTATGTTAATATAGCGTGTCTTCAATTTTTTATGAAGGGCTCCACCAAATCTAATTCCCACTGCTTTGTCAGAAACAGTCTTTGAAAAATTTAACTTGCAAGTTTTACGAAGTTAGTGGGAGATCAGGCTGGGGAAGGAAAGAAGAAAGGTGAGAAACATGGAAAGGGATGGTGTGGCAGGAAATGCATAATGCGATAGGAATTTTTGTTTGGAAGTAGAGGAAGGGGAAGATTTGTTGGCAGAGCAAACATAAAATAGAGTTCGTGGAGGAAAGAGTGCCGAGTTTCATATCAGCTCAAGGCTCCAGGGATAGGCTATGGCTACAATACACCAGTATTTTAATTTTTCTATGGTGGATGACAGTGGGATCTCCTAGCTAGAAAGTACATTGTTCATAACAGAAGTCCAGTGATGTCATCAGAACAATGGTCGCCATTGGCTCTCAGCATTGAGATTTTGCTCTTAGGCAACTCCCTGAGTAAGCTGGTTTCCCTTGCTCTTCCTTTTGCCCGCTGCCCCTCCCAAACCACATTTCAGCACCTGAAAAAAAAAAAAAAAAACCCAGTCCCTTTGGTCACAATACCTTTGCATGAGTTAATCCGCCCTTCTCACCCTTAGATTTCATTTAAAATGACACAGTTCATGAGTGCCTTCTGTAACTCCCAAGCCCTACATTATGTACTGAGTCATGTATACCTCCTTTGCTTCATTAACTCTACATTTAAGCAGCCAATTATTACATCAACAAGCCCCTTTTCTACCAGTCCAGAGGTTTACAAAATATGACCTACAAACCAAATGCAGCCCATCACCTTTTTTTTTTTTTTTTTTGAAGTTAGGTTTCACTGGAATCCAGTCATCCCGTTTGTTTATGTATTGTCTCTGGCTGCTTTTATATTACAACCATAGGATTAAGTAGTTGAGACACAGACTCTACAGCTCACACAATTGAATATATTTACTTTCTGGCACTCTACAGAAAACAATTTGCTGACTCCCATACTAGACTTCCAGGAGGGTAAGTGCTATTTGGTCTTTGTCGAACATTTCATTTCCTTTCACGGCACATATAAATGAGTGATCAAACGAGCCATGTGCCCTGAGAAACTTGCTTAACCTTTCTGAGCCTTGAGTTCTTCAGGGGTAAAATATGAATTCTACTTTCAGTTTCTGGTATGTAGTTTATGTTGCAGAGTGACCTTTAGCTTCTTTACTCCTGGAAGACAGCCCCTTTGTTCAGGAGTAAGGCTCCAGGGAGTACCTGAGTGACTTTTGCACACCCATGGTCAGCTGTCAGGAGACCTCATGAGAAGAATAACCTTCTCTTCTACATAGGCTGAAGGAAGGGAGTAAGAAATGCAGAGAGATATGGCTACCAAACATGCTTGGGTTGAGCTGTACTGGGCTACTGGTCAGGGTCCAGGGCAAGGCTGACTCGGACTTCTTCAGGCAGAGCGGACAAGAAGGTTCTAGTCCTGGGGGTGAGGTGGCACATGAAGGGTAAGGGAAGAAATGAAATAAAACCAAGACCAGGAAAGGGACAGGTCCCAAGCACGTGTTTGGAAGATCATTCCTGACAGCAACACCATTTTGAAGCGCACACTGTGTTCCAGACATTACGAGGGTGCCTTCACATAAAAATCAATTCACTGAACCTTGGAAAAAAAATAGCATGCATTCTTTATAGTTTTTCCTGTTCCTCAAGTGACGGAACAAGTCAAGAGAGGACACCATGACAGTGTGATATAGGATGAGGTCAGCTTGCTGTTCTTCATGAGAGACATGATCGCGTGGTGCATTTAAATTGTCAAGAAACAGAAGAGACAGCCCTATGCTCTGTAACAGGAGGAGGTTACTTCAAGCTAGTCTCTTTCTGCATTGCTTACCCCCAAGGCTACCAAGAGGGTTGAGACCAAACCTATGAACACTTTTAGAATGTGTTAAAAAAAAAGAGGGGAAAATGGTGACACCAGGCAGCTGCTGCAGAGACAGAAGATGACCCACAGAGCAGGAAGTGTCCTCCACTGCTCCAGCTTCACCATGGACCCATTCCTTAGCTGGTGTGCAAATGTCAGTGCACTACCTGGCAAAGAACACAAAACAAGCAACGGGCTGGCAGGACTACAAGGTCTTTCAGAGAGATCGCTCCCTAGGACAGTGGAACCCTGTCTGTTGGAAGATTCAGAAAAACTTCATGAAAAACCTACAGTGACCAAACCCAGAGGATTTTATTAAACTAACCACGTGCTCTTATGACACATTTATATACAGTTCAGATTAAAAACACAAGGCTCATGT